CACACACACACACACACACACACACACACACACACACACACACACACTGCTCCTAGAGAAGGTATGGGCCAGGAATCTGTGGTTGCCCATTCCTTTATCTCTAAAGGCCAGAAAAAAAAAACAAAAAAACAAAAAAAAACACACACACATTTGTTAATCCTGAAAGTAGCTATAATATGCAAATCTAAACATACTGAAAGTTTAAGTGGAGCTACAGGTATAAGCTCAGTGATAGAGCATTGAAAAGGCCCTGGGTTCAAATCCTAGTACAAAAACTAAGAGCTTTTCTCTGAGGAAATTAAAATAGAACAAAAAGGTTCCTGGGGGCTGGAGAGATGGCTCAGAGGTTGAGATTGTCTATTGCTCTTACAGAGGACCTGAGTTCAGTTCCCAGCATCCATGTTGAGCAGCTCATAACTTCCTGTAACTCCAGCTCCAGAGGATCCAGCACCTCTGGTCTCCATGGGTACCAGGTCCCCACACTCTCGTTTACATGCCTACCCACAGATACATGCATACTTAAAATTAAGTAAAAAAAGCTCTAGACCAGGTTTGTCTAACCTGTGGCCCTTGAGCCCTGCATTCCTCAGGATGGCTATGAATGTGGCCCACTATGCTTGCAGACCACACCACCACATCAAAATCAAAAGTTTGGATACCCCAGCCTAAACCATTAAAGTATAGAGAGGCAAGGAACATAAAAATAATGAGAAAATATAATGAAAGAAACAAACGTAAGTTGTGTGACATGACTGAGTTCCATACTGGTTGTCACAATAACCATGACTGGCTTAACTTTCTGTATGAAAAGACAAAGACTTAAAAGACGATAAAAATTGTGTCCCAGCCAGGCTTGGTGGCATACACCTTTGATGCCAGGGCTGGAGATAGAGGGAGGAGCAGAGGCAGGCAGATCAGTTCTGGGATATCCAGAGCTATGTAGAGCGATCCTATCTCAAAAAGCAAAACAAAACCAAAAAAGCTAATCCTTGAGTAGTGGTGTAGCTTGGTGGTAGAATACGTGTCCAGTTTTTAGCACCAGCACCACAAGGATCAGGGCTAAAAAACCTTACGCTCCTTCCTGACGGACAACTCAGACTCAGCTCTTGGCCCAACCAAAAGTGGTCAGTCAGTGACAGATGAGTCAGTGGTGACACCCTGAATCACTGTGTTGAGACGTGCCGAGACCACACCTCAGCCGTGCAGTAGGTGTGTGAGGCCGGCACTGAGAGGGCAGTCTTTGAAGGGGCCGCAGTAGCATGACAGCTGTGCCAGAGAAAGCCACACCCGAAGTAACCAAGGGCGGGGGCTTAAAGGACAAAAATCTGGCTCCAAATCCCCAGTATTGCCACCTTCTGGCTGTGTGACCACCATATACACTTAGACGGTGTGACAATCTAACTTCCTCTCCTGAAGCTAAGACAAAATACTGGGGGGCTGGAGGGGAGCAACTTAGAGCAGAGTTTATTAACTCTCAGTCCCTCATGGCAGGGAAGTTACAGTGACAAGAGATTGAGGGAGCAATACCAGCAGAGTGACAGATGCACGCTGGCTAGTAATCAGCTCACTTTCTGCATTCGGCACTGTCGAGGATCCAGGCCCAGGGGATGGTGTCATCCACTGTAGGCAGGTCTTCCCAACCTAGCTAGCTTCCTCACCGCCATCCCCAACAGGTAAGCCCAGAGGCCCTTCTCCCAGGTCATTCTGGATTGTCAAGTAGGCAACCCGCATTAACGGTCATAGTGACTCCGGTTTCTGCTGGAAAATAAGTTCAGTGACCATCGTATGTCAGCGCTGAGGCTGCAGCTAGCACATGTGAGGTCCTCGCTTCAATCCCAGGACTTGCAAAAGAAAAGTGTGCAAGTTTTCATTTCATTTTGTTACATAGATATGATAAGAAACGTCATTGCCTCGGCGAGCTTCCTTGACTTGTTAGGCCATGACCTTTCCCAGGGGCATCATTCTCTGTAAAATCCAGGTGGGGTTGGCTAAACTCCCATCTCAGCCTCTCTGACTTCACAATTCATGCTTCTTCATGAAGCCACTGTAGCCAGCACTTCAGTCTCCTGGTGGAAAGTGAGGCACCCAACCTCTTGCGATGGAGGCTAAGCAGGGTGGGGCCCAGCCACTACTTAGGTGGCATAAGGTAAGGTCTGAACCTGGAGTCCTCCATCTGTTTGGTCCCTTCTGGTCTCATAGACTTAGGACTAGGTTGACATACAGTAGGCATTCAATAAATGCTGATCACTGACTGGTTTGTTGAGTGAATTGTACACATGACATTTCAAAGTCCTCATACCAGCTCAAATGCTGTTCTTGTCTCCATTTGATCGATGAAGAGACTGAGGCCCAGAAAGGAACAGATCCTCACATGAGCTCATACAGCCTGTGGGTAGCAGAACTGTGGTCTGATTCCGAGCTGTCCTGACTCGACATTCTAGATCCGAACACAGGATCTGCCTCCTCAGAATCTTCCCAGGGCTGCCCAAGTGACCCCAGACCTTTACACAGTCCCGGCGAGCTGGGGTTTCTCCCACGCTCCCGTGTTTCCCATGTCAGCAAAGGCCTCGTGCATGCCTCTGTTGAGGTCAGGGGGCTGTGACCAGCCAGGGCCCCGCCTTGATCTCATAGCCACACCCCATCTGTCAGTGCCGCCTTCAGACAGCTCCAGCTGCTTCTCCCCCTCTCCCCCTCCCCTAAGCCACCCTGACTCTGGATTTGGGGGAGGGGAGTGAAGACATACTCCCTGTGTAGCCCAGGCTAGCTTCAGAGAAGCAGCTTCAGCAGTGCCAAAGTTGTCAGCCTAGTCCACCATGCCTGGCCTCTACCAAATTGTTGCATGAGCCTAAGCATGTGTGTAACATGATGCACACACACACACACACACACACACACACACAATCTCCTTTGCCTCCACTGTTTCACTGTGATCTGTTCTCAGCACGGGGATCCGACCACCTCAGTCCTGTGTTCCAGACCCTTAGCCTACCAGCTAAGTGAAAGGCAAAGAGGCCCTCTCATCCCAGAGGCCTGTGCACCCTCGCCCTGTTCATCCCTGTAGGTGCCTTTTCCCACTGTCCCCTGCTCCACACAGACCTGTGTTTCTCCAGTGTGCCAGGAAGGTGTCCCGCCTCAGGGCCTCTGTGACACCTGTCCCGGTTGCCCCGCGGCTTGGTCCCTCCCCTCCTGCAAGCCTTTGATCACAGGTCACCTGAGGCCTCCTCGGCTAGAATTGCAAACTCAGTAAGCTCAGACCATTTGCCGCCCTCTGCCATGTGTTGTCCTTGTTGTACTTCACTTGAGTCTAATAAACTGAAAAAATGAATTGGTAATAAAAAAAAAAAAAAATGAGTCTAGGTGTAATGGGCCCACCAGTATAAGGACAGTGGCCAGCTGAAGGTGGGACAAGGGAACCCGTGGGGTTGTGTCACTGCTTGTGTACACAAGCGTGACACACGCAGTGACACAACCCCACGGGTTGTAGACACCCGCTAGCGCCCAGGCTGGTGAGGAGGTCTGCCCTGCAGACGGGCCTGCTAAACTGAAACTAGAGCGGTAAGGATCATCCTAATGACGAGTAAGGGTAGCTGCATTTAAAGAAAAAGTAACAAAAAAGCGAGACGCGCAAGAAGGGCAGGCTGCTTTCCCCAGCCACGAACGAGCAAATGTGCCGCGTCTGTGTATATAAACAGCAGAACGCTGTTCCCCGAGGGGAAAGGCCGGACACGAAGCTCCGCAGGCTCTGGCTCTGGGGAGGGCCTGCCTCCATGCCTCACCACTGCAGCCAGAAAGGAGGCTGTACGCTTACGACGGAGACGAGTTTCAAGCCTGCAGTTACTGCGCACCGCAGAGAGAGCGCCTCACTGACGCTGACAGCAAAACCGTGGCCATCAGAAGGCAATTTGACTGGCACACTGTGACCACTAGTGCTTACGACCCGAGCCGTAGACCTCTGACCATTCCTCCCTGATGAGTGGACCTCAAATCTGACCAGAAAGTGCTTGGTGAGGCCGGGAGAATGGCTCGGTGGGTGAGAACACTTGCCACGGGAGCTTGAGGATCTGAGTTCAAACCCCCAAGGCCCACATGGAAGGCCAAATGTGGCCATGCACGTACCTGTAACCCTGCCAGATGTGGAGGACAGATACAGGACGGCTGTTGGGCTTTGATGGCCGCTATTAGTGAGTCTCATTCGGAAGGTTAGTCTGGTTCAGAAATCTTCCCCGTATCACGAGTAAAGTGGAAAAGGCTAGCACAGCGCGCCGCTGCCCTCCCCTGAGCCCTGTACACACAGAAGAGGGAAGATAGTGCTTGCCAGCCTCCATCCCGGTTGTGCCGCTGTGGCGCCAGTGACCACATCTTGGCCGTCAGGTTGGAACTGTGGCAAAAGTAATCTTTTGGCATCCTGAGGTTTCCTAATGGCGGACTGAGATCCTGGAGCTTCCGGTCAGTGTGGACTTACGGCCGTACATCCAAACGTGAGCACTGAAGCATCACATAGGAGTAAAGCAGAAAGGAATTAGAAGTGAGGCCCTGCAGGACCTGGGCTGCTCCATGTTGGGAAAAGTAACAGAGAAGTCTGAGGCCACGGGAGAGGGCTCGGTAGGGTAGGAGCACTTGTGAAAGTGAGGTTTCACCACAGCTTCCAGTGTAAAAGCCAGGCTTGTGGGTAGCTGTAGCTCAAGCACCGACTCAGAGGCCCAGACGATCAGTTGGGTTCCGTAGCCACTACCCGAACTAAAAAGTAGCAAGCTTCCGGCTCAGGGCAGGGCACGAGGGCACTGGGTGTCCTCCTCTGACACGCACACACACACACACACACACACACGCCTGCGCATACGCAAACACAGAGGCTCAGTGGTCGACCAGTTGTCCAGAACCCACCGTGAGGGGCCAGGATGTGGCCCAGTGGTACAGCATTTGCTTAGCATGCACATAGTCCTGTGTTCCATCCCCAGTGCGGCAGGTTCAGTGAGCCAGTCAGTTAATTAATTCATGCTTTAACCAAAGGCCATGGCTGCTCGCCTCACACGCGTGCACCTGACTGCAGAGGGCGGAGGGGTGGAGGAGGGGGCCGGAATATTTGGAGAACACAGCTCAGGACTGCTGTGCTCCCTGAAAGACCAGCCACTGAGCGGCAGGTGCGCGTTTCCCAGAAACCAGCAGCCAGGGCTGGGACCTCACCCGGACTGGCGCTCACCGCCTGGGATCCTGGTAGCACCTGGAAGGCAAAGGGGGACAGTCCGTCTCGGAGGGGCCAGTCAGACACGGGTCTTCAGAGCCTCCCAGCCAAACTGCTGAGACCCGCCCCGTTTCTGCCCATAGGTGATGACCAATGGCTGGGAGACGGTGGACATGACCCTGCGGCGGAACGGCCTGGGCCAGCTGGGCTTCCATGTCAAGTACGACGGGACAGTGGCCGAGGTGGAGGACTACGGCTTTGCCTGGCAGGCTGGCCTCCGGCAAGGCAGCCGACTGGTGGAGATCTGCAAGGTGGCTGTGGTGACTCTGAGCCACGATCAGATGATCGACCTGCTTCGCACCTCCGTCACCGTGAAGGTGGTCATCATCCCGCCCTTTGAGGACGGCACGCCCCGGCGGTAAGGGCGGCACCCCAAAAGGCCGGCGGGGACCGGGACCTCAGTGAAGGGACTGAGTGGTGGCTCTCAGCCTTCCTGGTGCTGCGACCCTTGAATGCAGTTCCTCACGTGTGGTGACCCCGACCATAATGTTACTAACATTGCTACCTCATAACTCAATATCTGTTGTCTGGTGGTCCTAGGCGACCCCTGTGACAGGGTCATTTGACCCACAGAGGGGTCGTGGCCCACAGGTTGAGAACCCCTGTGGCAAGCCCTATTCCACGGGTCTAATGACAGTGGTTGCAGAGTGAACGAGGTCCTGTGGCTCTCGGTGTTAGCCTCGTGTGCGCACCTCACCAGCACCTGTGAGGGCCTCATGGGTGGCACACAGAGTGAGCGAAGCCTGTCCCGGGGCATATTGGGACATTTGCTGGGCCCCTTCTGTATGCAAGCTCCGCTTGCTGTGTAGGGCAGTGGGCAGGGCAGAGTACGCGCTCTCTGGGAGAGGCACACCAGGAAGTAGATACACAGGGTCTGGTTGTGTATCCCAGTACTTGAGAGGTGGAGGCAGGGGGCCCGGAGGTCAAGGCCAGGCGCCACTGTGCTGTAGTTAGTTCATGGACAGCCTCAGCTACATGAGACCTGTCAGAAGGAACAGCAGTGGAAAAAGCCAATGCCAAACCAGCCCAAGCAAAATGCCCACGCTGCTTCTGGCTAGCAGAGGCTGCTGGTGTGTGTATGTATGTGCGAATGTGTGCGTGCTCTCGCTCTTGAAGGCCAGAAGAGGGTGTCAGGTCCCTTGGAGCTGGAGTTACAGGTTTTTTTGAACCTCCTGACCTGATGCTGGCGTCCAGACTCTGGCCTTCATGATTAAGCACCAAGCGCACCTAACCACTGACCTCTCTCTCCAGCACCCTACTGTGTTACTGAGAGAGCAAAAGCAAGCAAGTACCTGCTTGTTCAGCACAGGTGCCCCTCCCCAACCCCGCCAGTCTCAGTATGCCGTTAGTTTAGTGAACCTTCGTGGCCCTCAGAGATGCCAAGTGCCCACCCACGGTGGCCCAGACCCCATGCCTTCATATTTGGAACGTTCCATCAGGGCTGAACACGCTGGTGCAAGCCTTTAATCCCAGCACTCGGAGGCAGACACAGGTCGGTCTCTGAGTTCAAGGCCAGCCTGGTCCACAGAGAGAGATTCACCCACAAACACACCAGACAAAAGAGAGAGAGAGAGAAACAAGTGTGGTGAGGTGGTACATGGCTGTAACTCCAGCACTCAAGAGGCTGAGAAAAGGAGGGCTGAGCTTGAGGCCAGCCCAGACAGTGAAGAAAGGTCCAGTTCCAGAAAAGGGTGGGGTGGGCCAGTCAGTTGTTCTGCTGATCTGAGGCCTGCTCTACAGTTGGGAACCCCCACCTTAGACCACAGACCTGGCTGGGAAGGCCATAGACCCACTGGGGGTGCTGCTGCTGTTGTTTGCTAAACGGATGTGCCGTCCCTGTGAGATGTCTTCTAAATTACCCCACTGTGCCCGAGGGCCGTGCCTCAGCGCCGGTCACAGAAGCGTCTTGTTACAGTGGAGTGGTGACCGCAGACACTAGTCAGAGTGGACGCACGCCTGCTGAATGTTCACGTCCTCTCAAGACCGGGGAGCATGGCAGAGGGGCAGGTAGTCCACGAGAGCTGGAGAGCAGGTGGACGGGGAAGGGGCGTGCAGTGGTGGCGTCCGGGCATGGCGTGGCTATCGCCTTAGCCTGGCTGGCCTAGAACTCTATCTAGACCAGACTGGCCTTGAACTCAGTTTCACCACTCCGGCTCAGTTTCTAGCTGTTGCAGCCATACGGACTTGAACAAGTTGCTGAAGTTCTTTAGCTATGAAAGGTAACATACTGGAGCTGAAGCATTGGCTCGGTGAGTGCTCACCTAACACATAGAAGGCCCTGGGTTCAATCCCTCAGCGCTGCATAATCCAGATGTGGCAGCACATACCTGTAATCCCAGCACTCGGGACATGAAGGCCAAAGGTCAAGGTCTCCAGCTTAGCTGCCGGCAGCCTCCCACCACAGGTGACACGCCTGCAGAGACAGATCTTTACAGCCCCCACCCCCGGCCCAGCCTCCTCAGCAGTAGCTCCCAGGTTGCTCTCCCTGCTCTGAGAGGAACTGAGCTTGTGACAATCGACCCTAGTCGCTGCCACTGGGGGGAGAGGTGTTTCTGATTGGTTGGTGTGGGTCACGTGCTCATGCCTAGCATCCAGAAGTAGGCTCTGTCTGGCTCCGAGCACACAGCAGTTCTCAGGACATGTGGCCTTCCTCCACCTCTGCCAGCCTGGCCTGTCTGCCCGCTCCGTCAGACGGCTCTGTCCATATTGTTCCCTGGCTGGTGCCTGGGAGCCCCTGATCCCCGAAACAGCCATAAGGAGGTGCTGAACATCAGCTCTACCATACTGCCACAGGAAGGTACCCTGAGCAGGGCCCGGGACAGGAGCACCGCCTCAGGTGCCCTGACATGGCTGTAGTGTAGAGGAACGTCAGGATGAGGTCCTCTGGGCTTGCCTCTCCGAGCTTAGCTCTTGTGATCTGGGATGTGGATTTTTTTTTTCTTGAGCTCAGCCTCCTGTAAGCTCAGGATTCCTCCTGCGTTGTGTGGCACTCTGTGTGGCAGCGGTGGCAGAGGTGCCAGAGGTGCCAGCCCAGCTTGGATCCCAAGCCCCAGGCAGGATCCCTGCACTGTGGCACCTGTGCCCGCCACAGTAGATGGCAGACACGGGCCGCTCTGCATCTATTTCCAGGGTTCTGGGTTTCATCACTTTTTTTTTTAACCATCTTGCAAAGTAGGTCACCTGCTCCTCTCCCAGCAGCATTTGAGGTTCTTGGGAACAAGGCAGAGACTGTCCTTTGATTTTGAGGGCAGTAGCTTTTCCGGCCTAAACTATTGCTTGGGGGTTGGGAGGGCCTGGTTCGTTGAAGATGCTGGCTGACTAGAGGCCTGGGCCAGAGAAAAGGCAGAGCATGACGAGAGGCCAAGACTGGGAGGAAGAAAGAGGGACTCAGGTCCAGCAGTTGTAGCCCTGTGTTGGGTTCTGGCCCAGGATTCTAAGCTGGTATGCTTCAGGTCCTACTTTGAAAGATGCCACCAGCCTTTAAAATGAACCAGCACGGTTTGGAGTTGCCCACTGTAAACCAGACAGCTAGTCCCTTTCAAGCTGAAGGCCTGTGTGCTCGTGGGCCCGGACCTTATAAGAACTGAACTTGTTTTTCCAGGGGCTGGCCAGAGACCTATGATATGAGCACCTCGGAACCCAAGACAGAGTCGGAAACCACCACCCCTGGGGGCCGGCCCCCCTACCGCAGCAATGCTCCCTGGCAATGGAGCGGGCCTGCCTCCCACAACTCTCTGCCAGCCACCAAATGGAGCACCCCCGCTACTCCTGGCCACGTCCAGTCCCTGAGCCGACTCCCGAAGCAGACACCCGTGGTCCCTTTCCGTGAGTCCCAGCCACTGCACAGCAAGAGGTAAGGACCCCAGGACACTGCTGCCGTCCAGCGTCCCACCTGCCCACAAGCCCTCGCCCTTCCGCTCTCCCACCCTTGCTCGCTCGGGCTCTTCCTCCTCCCCTCAGTCATCTTCCTCCCTACCTCTTTTCCTTCCTTCCTTCCTTCCTTCCTTCCTTCCTTCCTTCCTTCCTTCCTTCCTATTTTTTAATTTTTATTTATTTTTTTATTTTTGAGTCAGTGTTTTTCTGTGTAGCCTTGGTTGTCCTAGAACTCATCCTGTAGACCAGGCTGGCCTGGAACTCAGAAATTCGCCTGCCTCGGCCTCCTGAGTGCTGGGCTTAAAGGGGTGTGCCACGCCCAGCCATTTTCCCCTTCTTAGTCCTCTGTCTCCCTCTGCTCTCCCCATCATTTCTTCTTTTTCTCCCCATTCCTGGGCGTGCCCAAGGGCCCTGATGGACAGGGACAGCAAATGCTCTGTATGAAGCTGGAAAGGATTTTTTCAAAGGCCAGTAACAAAGCATCAGGACCAGCTTCTTGGGAAGCAGGCCAAGAGAGAAGCCCACACAGGTGCCTCTCATCGCTGTATCCAGTCCTTGGACTGGGGGTCACCTTAGGGAATTTGATATTGGCACTTCATTTATATGATCTTGTTTTATGTATTGCTACTGAGGGGTGAACGTAGGCCCCTTGGCTCCCACTGGGTGTGTTCTCAGCCCACTCTCTGCCTTCCCTAGAAAACAGGGTCTCACTGTGTTGTTCAGGCTAACGTGGAACTGAAAAGCCTCCTGCTTCCAACCGGAGTGTCTTGGATTGCAGGTCTATACCACCAGGCCCAGCTGAGAGGCTCACCCAAATGCATCATAAGTATAAAAATATAGAGTCAGGCAAGGTGGCACACACCTTTGATCCCAGCCCTCGGGAGGCAGGGGCAGGCGGATCTCTCTGAGTTCAAGGCTAGCCTGATCAGTCTAGGTAGTGGGTTTCCGGCCAGCTCAGTCTCAAAAGTAAATAAAGAAGGGGGCTGGAGAGATATAATGAATGAATGAATGAATGAATGAATGAATGAATGAATGAATGAAT